TTCCGTCAGAGATTCTAGTAATCTTAATTCCCAGAATAACATCTGCAATGCCCATATCCTTCATGTCAAACTTAGAGTTTAACAACTTCTTAGTAGTTTTGATCATTTCATCGTTACTACCTACAATGAGCATATCATCAACATATAGACATAAAATGACATAACCTCTGTCAGTGTCTTTGACATAAACACACTTGTCACATTCGTTGATGCTAAACCCATTTGACAACATTGCGTTGTCAAACTTCTCATGCCATTGTTTAGGCGCTTGCTTCATACCATACAAAGATTTGACAAGTTTACAAACTTTCCTGCTTTGCCCTGGAGCTGAAAAACCTTCAGGTTGCTCCATGTAGATTTCTTCATTCAAATCTCCATTTAAGAAAGCTGTCTTTACATCCATCTGGTGAATTTCTAGATTGCGCAAAGCAGCAATCGCAATCACCATCCGAATGGATGTTGTCCTAGTAACAGGTGAGTACGTATCAAAGTAATCCAGGCCTTCTCGTTGCCTGTACCCTTTGATAACGAGCCTCGCCTTATACTTGTCAATAGACCCATCGGCCTTCATCTTTCTTTTAAAAATCCATTTGCAGCCTAAAGGCTTACAACTTGGAGGTAAATCTACCAACTCCCAGGGGTGGTTCTGTAAGATGGAGTCAATCTCACTTTTGATCGCTTCTTTCCATAATGGACTCTCAGGAGAAGTCACAGCTTCGTGGAAAGTTTGAGGTTCGTTCTCAACCATATAAGTTAAGAAGTCTGGACCAAAAGATTTGGATATCCTAGCCCTTTTACTCCTTCTGGGCTCATCTAAAACCTCAATTTGATCATCACCTGAATCATCCATATGATCATCCTCACTAGCAAGCTCATCAAATTTCTCCAAAGACCTTGGAACCCTTTCATGGGTTCGGCAATGAAAAATGTCTTCAAAGAAACATGCATTCCTTGACTCCATAATGATATTCCTGTGTATGTCTAGAATTTCAGACTTATGTACAAGAAACCGATATGCACTACTATTTTGTGCATAACCAATGAATATACAATCCACGAATTTCGGGCCTATCCTAACCCGTTTGGGTGTAGGAATTGCCACTTTTGCAAGACACCCCCATATTCGTAAGAATTTATACGAAGGCTTAACGCCTTTCCATAACTCATATGGCGTCTTGTCCACCTTCTTCCAGGGTACTTTATTCAGAATGTAATTTGTAGAGAGAATTGCTTCCCCCCACATGTTCTGTGGCAATCCAAAACTTATCAACATTGCATTCATCATTTCCTTTAGCGTCATATTCTTCCGTTCAGCAACCCCATTTGATTGAGGAGAATAAGGCGTCGTGGTTTGGTGGATAATCCCGAATTGAGCACAAATCTCAATAAACGGTGATTCATACTCACCACCACGATCACTTCTTAAAGCCTTAATCTTGCGGCCTACTTGATTCTCAACTTCATTCTTATAAAGAACAAACTTGTCAATCACCTCATCTTTGCTTTTGAGCAAATAGACAAAACAATACTTAGTGCAATCATCAACAAAAGTGATGAAGTACTTATTGCCACCACGTGATTGTATAAATTTTAAGTCACACACATCACTATACACTAAATCCAACGGTTCTGCACTCCCAAATTCTATTAATTTGGATTTGTATTGTTTCCATTCCCTTTCGCATAGGTATGCCTACAAAGAAGGTTAATAATGAAACGAAGATCTTGTCAACTTCGCTTCAACACAAGTTTCACACTTGTGTTTCGGATTAATCTTAAAAGATGGTATGTGATCTAACTTGATTAATCTACGTAAAGATTCAAAGTTCACATGTCCTAGTCTACCATGCCACAAATTGGAAGACTCAAGCATGTAAGCAGAAGAAGATGCATCTTTATTCATCTTTGGGATAATAGTCATTACATTGAGTTTAAACATACCCCCCAACATATAACCCTTACCCACATACACTCCGCTCTTGGTCAAAACGACCTTGTCGGACTCAAAAACAATGCGAAAACCATGTTTACTAAGAAGAGACCCTGAGGCAAGATTTTTACGAATGTCCGGAACATACAGGACTTCGTTCAAGGTCAGCTCCTTTCCTGACGTCAACTTTAGGACCACCGTTCCTTTCCCCTCAACAATCGAGGTAGTAGAGTTTCCCATAAACAACTTTTCACCGTTTGTAACCGGTTCGAAAGTTGTAAACAGCTTTTTCTCGGAGCAGATGTGGTGTGTAGCCCCAGTATCAATCCACCATTCTCTTGGATTTGAACCTACCAGATTCACCTCAGAGACAACGGCAGACAAGTGCATATTATCCTCCTCATGGGAGTGCTCTTGTAAATCTGCCATATGAGCACGAGGTTTAGTCTTGTATGACTTCTTCTGCTTGTGGCAGTCACTAGCCCGATGCCCATTGCTACCACAGTTATAGCACTTCCCAAAGAACCGATTACTTGGTTCTGGTGGCTTGTAAGCCGACTTCTTTGCAACACCACCTCTAGGCCCCAACTTAGAGGGCTTCTTTCTTATTCCAGAAGATTTGCCATGTTCAATGACATTGGCTTTTACTGAGGAGGTACTCCCTCCTTTCTTTCTATTATCCTCTTCAATCCGGAGTCGGACCACCAGCTCTTCAACTGACATTTCCTTGCGCTTGTGCTTCAAGTAGTTCTTGAAATCCTTCTAACCATTGGGAAGTTTCTCAATGATCACAGCAACTTGGAATGACTCGTTCAAAGGCATTCCTTCAGCATGAATTTCATGCAAGATCACTTGAAACTCCTGGACTTGGCTTATCACAGTTTTAGAGTCTACCATTTTAAAATCAAGGAACCGGCCAATCACAAATTTCTTTGCCCCAGCATCCTCAGTCTTATACTTTTTGTCTAGAGATTCCCATAACTCTTTTACTGAGCTCTTGGAACAAAACACACTATAGAGTGAGTCTGCCAAGCTGTTGAACACATAGTCCCGGCAAAGATAGTCTGTTTGTTTCCATGTGTCAAGCGCCATGACTTTCTGTTTATCAGGCTCATTCTCTGCCACGGCTGGAGGATCCTCGCTCAGAACCTTTGCAAGGTTTAGCGTGGTCAAGTAGAACAGCATCTTTTGCTGCCATCTCTTGAAGTTCACCCCAGCAAATTTCTCTAGGCGCTCATGATGACTGAGCGGTCCTCCCGGAACAGCCGGAGTAACGCCATGGTTAACCACAGAGGTCACAACAGTAGGGGTTGGCAACCCAGTTGCCCCGGGATTTAGATCCCCACCAACATTAGCAGTAGCAGCAGCATCAGTGATAGTTGCCATTTCGAACAAATAAAACCTCCTTTTTAGCCAAGGCTAAACACTTTGGTTTCTATTCCAGAAAACCAAACCAAAATCCAAACTTACAAGCAATTTAAACTTGCAAACAATTTAAAATTGCTACAACCAAATACATGCATATAAAATGCGTCTAATAAGTAAATAAAACTTGTTACTACAAATTGGTAAACAAACCAACTAAATCTCAAGCAAAAAATTTCTTCAAACATAAAAAAAATAACCAATCCAATTGAGGATTATAAGTAGTCCAAACAATTCCTTTCTACGCTTAGGTATGCCTACAAAGAGAGTTAGTAGAAAACGACAACATAATATAAAGCAATTGTACATACAATCAAATATTATTTAACCTTCTAGCAAATCATAGAATAGCAAAATAACTAAGGAATTAAGATACTATACAAGTTACAAAACCTTATAATTTCTACATTAAATTAAAAAATTAATTGCCATAAATTATATAAGAATTTAATTCACAATAACCATGTAAATAAATATAGACAAGTTACACAAATTTTATAACTCCAAAGAACTACATTTAATTCAAACTTTAATTCATCCAATTAAATCACACACTATTCATGGAAATAACTTATGTGTATAACTCTAGAACACTAGAAGCAATTTCACATGCAAATTAGATAGTAAAGTTAGAAGCATGCAAAATCAAAATATACATATGCAACATTAGACAAATAGGATGAAACCAAATAAGTAGCATGCGGTTTATGTAAATAATTTGAATTGTTTATATGTAATAAACTAATAACCAAGCACTTCAAGTATATAACCATTCAACCATTAACATGCAAAAATTCTAAAGATTAAATCATGTAATCTAGTCTAGAAAATAATAAAGAGGTTCATTCGGCCTCCATCGTCACTGGTGTTGATCTTCATAATTGGTGTTGAACTCTCGTCGTATCTCATATCTCGTCATCTTGTCGTTTCAAATCGCCGACGAAGTGTTTCATTCAACCTTCTGTTGTCCAAACATTTTTTAAATTAAATAAATAAATTTATGAAGAAAACAAATTATATACGAAGAACATATGCTGATAATTACAACTAAATTTCAACAGAAATACACAAAAAACAATAAAGGGTAAAGAGACAAAATCGAAGCCTACACGGAAGCAGTTTCCTTAAAACAGATTTCGCCTCTTCACGGGTCGAGTGCTTGAGGAAACCCGGCATCTGTCTCCCAGGATATGACGGTCAAAACCAGCTATGACAGAAGCACTATCTGTCTAGCTTAGCGAACAAAACAGTGGCAGCACTCTCTCATAGTAGGAACTTTTTGGCAAACTGACTAAAGAATGGAAGAAACAATTTCTATGTTTGAGACTTGACAGGAGGGTCTCAATTTATACATGTATAGGGGAGAGAGGAAGAGCCTCCAGCCTTTATAGTTGTTCATAATGCACCATTAACCTCTGCAATAAAGGCAGGAGTTACAAACCCCATTAATGCAGGAGTTACAAACTTCATTACCTTTTTTCCATGAAGCTAACTTCATGAGGTAATTTCTCATTCAAATCTCAATGGTTTTTGGCCATTCTATCTGTGGTGTAAAGATCTCAATGCAAAGTATCTAGACCCACTTGGACCCAACACAATAGATGGTTGGGACCCACTTTAATCTTTAATTAAAGTCACCAAAAAATCATTTTTTTCCAACACTACCTGCTTCCTCCCCAGCTGTATGAGCAGTGAGTGCTATGATGGGTATGCGAACACCATAATGTTTCTCCTCCTCCCGTATTCGTCTTGTTGCTGTGAACCCATCCAATATCGGCATCTGTTATAATCAAAATAAGAGTACTAATTTCATAACGAGGACAAAAAATTGGATACACAAATGTAATTCTAAACTAAACATAGTTCATGATTTTATTAGATTTTCTTATTTCCTTTATTAATTTTATTGTAGTTATGATTCTAATATGATTCAATTGGTAGAAAATATTAGATGTACATTGCTTTATCTCTGTATATAGAGATGTGGCTTTGGTGTTTTAAACCTATGATGCCTAAGTCACACTGGAACAACTTTACCGCTAATGCAGTTGATAGAGTAGTTGTAAAAAATGCAGCATAACACAAGCAAGAGGGTGTGCATAAAGAAATGGTAGGAAGATTCTTTTACCTCACAGTCCATCAAAATATAGTCATAAGGAAGAAATGCAGAACCTCCATCTTTCCTTCGATCCCTTAGACCTTTGCAGACTATTTCAAAAGCTTCTTCACCATTTCTACATGTTTCAACATCTGCACCAAGCTTTGAAATATTAGTGGCAGCCAGCTTAAGTAACACTGCATTGTCCTCTGCAACCAATACTTTCTTCCCACTCAAAGGCTTCTCACTGCTTGTCCCACCATGTTCCTTTATTTCTCCAACTGGTTTGACTGCGAGCTTGTCACCTGAACCCAAAACTTCCTTCCCACTAGAGGGCCTCTCACCACTCTTCGATTTTGAAATCATATGATTCTCATTCGTTGAAAAGTGCAATCCTGAAGGAATTTTTTCAAGTTGAAGATCGTCTTGTCTCCTTTTTCTGGGTGAAATATCGGGCAAAGTGCCCCCAAACTCTGGTAGAAGTCCGATCACATGATTCAATCGAGAACCATGGAAAGGCTTAGATATGATCAAATCAGTAGGAGGGAGCTTATCCAAGTCGAGTCCTTTTGAATGGATGCTATGTGCGCCAGGTTTATCGATCCAAACAATTCTACAACAAGTATGTTGAAGGTCTCTTTTGAACTCTACCACTGCCCTGCTTAGTTCTTGAAATGGACTGGCCCTTGTATCGATCACAATTAGTATGAAATTTAACGCACCTTTCAGATTAGTCCTTTTCTGAAAATTTGGTATGTTGTTTGTCCCATCTAATGCACTTAATAGGACTTCCTTGGCTCTGGTACTGGAATCACGCGACATGGGTCTGCTGAGACTGCCCAAACTCAAATCTGATCTACCCAAAGAACTGTAGTGTGAGAGGTTTAGCTTCTGTTTTAGCTTCTTTAGGGTATGTGAAAGTTGCTCACAATCTCTCACAGCAGACACTTTTATCCCTAGTCTTTCCATGACTTTCTGTGAAATCCTCTGTCGCGTTTCACTTTCAATAAAGAGTACAACATGTGATCCCTCCGGTTTAGGGCTGGTGGTGCGGGTGCTCAGTGGCCTCGAATGTTCAGATGAATCACAAGATATGTAACCGCCCTGTGACTCAACATCATCTTCTCTTGCATTAGCGCTTGAATCTGTCGTCTCATACATAGTAACGAAAATATTAAACCTGAAGCAGGTCCCCTTTTCGCCAATTTCCTTGTCTGCAATACTGATTTCACCACCCATTAGACGGACCTGGAATGGAATAACAAGTAATTAAGAAGCTAAAACATTGGAAATTAATTAACCAACCTTGCGAAAAGAAAGAAGAATGAAGAAAATTTAGGACTACATCAGTCATTTAATTTAGAGCAGTTGCAAATTAGTAGCTGAAAGCAAATCAGTACATCTTAGTATGGAAATCAAGCAGTGAACTACTACTACAAATTTACAACATACCAGAGATTGAACAATACCAAGCCCCAAGCCAGTGCCTTCTGGTGCAAGACCTGTCCCTTTGACTTGAACATAGTTTTCAAAAACAGAATTATGCTTCTCTTTTGGAATTCCTGGTCCTGTATCGTCCACCTCGAAAACAAATTCCAGAGTTTGAATTTTCTTGGATGGTGTTCATAGATTCCAGGCCATTGTATGATTCATCATCGTTGAAAAACAAACATGAAAGACACTGCAAGGACTTGTTCGAGCTAGAAGAAAACATGGCGGTATCAAAATGGGCCTTTTTAGCCCAAGCCCGAACTACCACATGTCCCTCAGATGTAAATTTGACAGCATTGCTCAGTAAGTTGCAGAATATCTGTTTGAGTTTGGTCTGATCACATTTAACCTTTGAAAATTTGGTGACAGAGCTATCACAAGGATCCAAAACCACATCTACACCTTTTTTCGTGCCAAGAGGATGATACAGATCAACTACATCTTCCAGCAGTTGAGCCAAGTCAATTTCTTTTTCTTCAAGTTGCATTTTTCCAGCTTCAATTTTACTTGTATCAAGAATTGAATTCAAAATACCTGTATGTACATATAGAAGTTGAAAATTAAAATTTTCACATTCAGACTTTTACTCAAATTTCACTTTGGTCTTTCATCTTTTTGCATACAACAATCAAATCTTCAAGTTTAATTTGTGCTTCAATTGGGTTTTGCAGTCACTTATTGTTAAGATTTCAAAAGGAAAGTTTTTACATGAGGGTCACATGAGCACATTTTTGGGGTATTAGAGGAAAATTTTTGTATGGCAAATTATACTTTTCACCCTCTAATTCCCATTCAAATTTCACTTTGGTTTCTCATGTTTCAACTTTCAATCAAGGATGGGTAGAAGTTTGAAAACTTGATTGTTACAATTAGAAGATGAGAAACATAAGTGACATTAAGGAGAAAGTTCAAGGAAAAAAAGCATAATTTACTCTAAAAGTTTCTATAGAAGCTTATTTTGTAAATAAAGTTAGGACCCACAACTCATATCGAGAAGTTTATTTAGAAAAATAATGTGCAATCCGTATTCAATTATTGTATGATGAAACTCACAACTAAATGAATTTGGACCACACTAGAAATTTTTTGAATTGTACATGGATTTTCAATCCGTTGCAATTATGATATATGTACCTCTTGACTAGAATCTTATGAAGATAAAAAAATTAGTTGAGAAATTTACCCAAAAGATCTTTTGTACAATCCTCCATTTGCATCAAATTTTTCTCCAAGTATGATTCAGGCGTAACTTCATCATGGCACATATCTATCAAACCGGTAATGCCTGCGAGCAAAGCACGGACATCATGGCTTGCACTTGCAAATGCTAAGATCTTTTTCAAACTCTTCCTTTCTGCTCGTTGAGTTGCTTCCATTTGTTTTATAAGTGTTGCACATAAGTACATCTCTCTTCTTGCTCCTCTCAGAAGTAAGAACACAAAAACCAACCACCACTATTAGAATTATCAATGCAAACGTGATATGTTTATCAAGACTCTCTAGTCCCTTTTGTGGCAAAGCCAATACATATACCTACAACACAATTACAATTTCCAAACATTATTATATACTCACTTACATGTAATCAAAATGATGGATCAATATATGAAGCTACTTACATGTAATGACAGATTAATGAACCATGTCTGAACATGAACATGTGTGCACAATAGGTGATTTATGGCATGTGCTATTGAATCCGTCTGGTTGTATTTAGTTTTATTTATTCTTATTTGGTGAATTGTTTTTGGAAACTACTTTTAGAATTTTAATTTTTTTTTGAATTTTTAAAATTTATTTTTGCAAAAATGAAAATAATATGAGAACAATGAGTGGTTTTAAACTTTTCATTACTTTATTTCAAAAACACAAAAAATAAAGGAAACGAAAATACAACTAAACACAAAGTACAACAATATTGTACTTATATTATGAATGTAGGGTTTTTTATATGTTGATTTTACTTTTTGTTACTTAATAGTAACTATTAGGCTAAGATAATATTTAGACAAATTATATTGGTGATGTGAATTTTTTTAGAAATGTAAATTGCATGAAAAAAATTTAACCAAATGAATTATGTGTTTTATATAACAAAATAAAAAATAATTACCGATTTCACTCCAACGATGTCAAGTGGTGAACAGTAAACCTTATACTTGGTTTCCCAAATGCTCAACATGGATGCTCTCAATGTGCCATGGTCATCATCATCAGTTTTGCATGAAACATTAACAACAAGACCTATTTGAGTTCCATTCGGATTCAACGATTCAAATGAAACCGAATCCCCAACAAGAACAACACGAGTATTAGGAATCCCTTGACTAGCCAGTACTGTCCCATCTTTTGTAGCAAAATACAAGTTCCCACCATGAAAGTCTATCCCAGAGAAAAAGCTAGTCAATGGTTTCACTGGAAACCCTAGAGAGAGAGCTCCTCTTCTATCATCCATAGCAGCTGTATTGAAAAACAGAAGATCTTGATCGTTTTCCCACCCAGTTCCTAATGAAACATGCCCATTGGTACTAACCAAGGCCTTTTGCAACCAGCTTCCATTAAATGTAAATGAAGGATGTGACCTAACAGGAACAGCTTCCCCATATAGCTTTCCAGTGCTGCAATTCACCGGCTGAGTGTACTGTTTTATGGCTATTGGGGCACTCACATTGACCAACAATGAAGAATTAGCATACACTGCTAACGTTTGATAGCCATTGGTGTAGTATGAGAAGAGCAAACCATCCGCTCCGATATACGTAATATGTGACAAGTGTGGAATTGTTAATAATGCTTGGAACAGTACTGGGGCCACCTGCATCAAACAATTGACATTAGTTTCTTTTCTTTTCTATTTTTTCATTTACATTTTAGTAAAAGGGTTTTTTTGGTATACAGACATCAGTTTCAATGGTAGAGAATGAAAGGTTCACTCCATCCAATGATGAACTCAAAATTCTTGCTAAATTTGTTGCCGATGAATTCACTGGAGATAACAAGTATGCAGTTTTTTCGATTTCTGATAGCACTTCATGGCTGACATTGTGGGAATTCGACCTCAGTTCTTGCTCAATTCTTTAAACCTTAACAATCCAAAATGGGATCACCAGATTGGGAAGCAATAACACTAAGAAAGCCTGCATGATGCAATTAAATACATTAGTTCTTGAAAAGTTGAAAACCTCTCTCTCTCTCTCTCTCTCTAAAACCTCCCTCTTTCTCTCTCTCTCTAAAACCTCCGCCCCAGGCCTCTTTTTTGGGCCGGCCGACCGCCGTCTTTGGCCATGGTGGTCGGCTGGCCTAGCTTGTTCTTATTCATGTGTTTGCTTGTTAGCTTTTTCCTTCAATAAACTTAATTGCCCCATTTTTCCCACCTAGGCGTGTATGTGTTGCTGCGGTAGAATTTGTTTTGGTGTTTCGGGGTCCGGTTTAACTGTTTTATCATTCATTCGTGCGCTCTTTTGCGAGTAGGAGTTTGAGGGATGAACTCTGATTCAGATTTGATGGGGATGTATTGATGCTTTGTTTGGGCGGAACTTGGGTGTCGTAGATCAAGAAATCAAGACAAAATGACATACCTGAATCCATTGATGAACGGTTAAACGGAAGCGTCTGATTGTCAATAAAACCTTTGATATTGACTATGTTATTGCCTTCTAATCATTTCCCCTTTGGTGCCTTATGTTTCTCCATGAGAGGATTTAGAAAGAAAAATGGTAGTGTTCTTATTTTTTCACCTTGGGAAGGAATAGGGACCATAACCTTTTAAAGGTTGTAATTGGTTTTCAAAACTGAAAGGTTGTGGAAGTTCAAAAGGAATGAAAACCAACTTTAACCAATATGTTTTAATTTCTATTTCTGCCCCTCATAGAAATAGAAATTATACAACTAGTATCTACACATTAGGTCCATAACACATATACCCTTAAACCTATTAATTAAATTGAATCACTTAAATTGTAGGCTTCTTATAAATGATAACACCACATTTAATTATGTGGTCCCATTGAGACATTATCTAACAATGATGTCCCATCTTTTGTAGCAAAATACAAGTTCCCACCATGAAAGTCTATCCCAGAGAAAAAGCCAGCCAATGGTTTCACTGGAAACCCTAGAGAGAGAGCTCCTCTTCTATCATCCATAGCAGCTGTATTGAAAAACTGAAGATCTTGATCGTTTTCCCACCCAGTTCCTAATGAAACATGCCCATTTGTACTAACCAAGGCCTTTTGCAACCAGCTTCCATTAAATGTAAATGAAGGATGTGACCTAACAGGAACAGCTTCTCCATATAGCTTTCCAGTGCTGCAATTCACCGGCTGAGTGTACTGTTTTATGGCTATTGGGGCACTCACATTGACAAACAATGAAGAATTAGCATACACTGCTAATGTTTGATAGCCATTGGTGTAGTATGAGAAGAGCAAACCATCCGCTCCGATATACGAAATATGTGACAAGTGTGGAATTGTTGATAATGCTTGGAACAGTACTGGGGCCACCTGCATCAAACAATTAACATTAGTTTCTTTTCTTTTCTATTTTTTCATTTACATTTTAGTAAAAGGGTTTTTTTGGTATACAGACATCAGTTTCAATGGTAGAGAATGAAAGGATCCAATGATGAACTCAAAATTCTTGCTAAATTTGTTGCCGATGAATTCACTGGAGATAACAGGTATGCAGTTTTTTCGATTTCTGATAGCACTTCATGGCTGACATTGTGGGAATTCGACCTCAGTTCTTGCTCAATTCTTTTAACCTTAACAATCCAAAATGGGATCACCAGATTGGGAAGCAATTAAGAAAGCCTGCATGATGCAATTAAATACATTAGTTCTTTTCTGTAATGAAAAAACAAAAGAAAAGAAACAAGAAATCATAACCACTATTCAAGAAAATTGCATAACATATTTAAGAAAAGCTCAGTATTTTTTTATTTTTTATTTTTAGCTAGCCAAACAAGAAGAATACCACTATAGAGATTCCAACTATATTTCTTTTTGAATGTTATGCTCTATTTTGTGTCAGTGATATGAGTGAAAAATAAAGAAAGAAACCCTAAAATCTTGAATATTTTAAATAAGTAGTCATAAGATTCCAAATCATTTTGGCTTTCTTACATCTTATTGGGAACTTATATAAACCAAGCAATCCCAATCATGGTTCTGAATTCCAGTATCGTGTAATGTAACGGTATTGATCGTAGAGTATCGGTATTGGATGTCATGGCCATAAAATTTCTTAGCTATTTTTACATGAGTAGCATCCTGTCACAGATTGTATAACAGTATGAAAAACGATTACAATCCATTATGTAACGGGAACTAGCCGGTTCAGTGGCGATTTTCAATCACACCACAATATTGGTTCGTTTCCGTATTGCCACCTTAATTTTCCGATACATATCGGCTTATACAATATGTACTCACCGGCCGTTTTTTAGAACTATGATCCCGCTACATGATTGAGAAAATCAAATATAGTACACGTAATCATTCAGTTATAGAAATTACCAGAAGGATGAAGAAACAAACAGGCCTCATTGCTATCAATAAGCCGAGCTTCATCGAGCTTGTGTGGTTATTATCAATGGAAGGCCATATGTTTTCTGCATTTTCAAGGAAAAACAGGAAATGAAATTTGGGGACGTGCAATAATATCCCAAGGAGAGAAAGTAAATCCTTATCATATCTAGAGGACATACAGAATCTTCTATATGCATGAAATGTGAAGGAGATCATAATATTTCCTATAACAATTATTTTCGTTTAAAAACTTTCCCTTAATATATATATACATATATATATATATCTAATATATTACTTATAAACTAGGGGTGTACACGGTCCGGATTGGTTCGGTTCTGAGAAAATTCAAGAACCGAACCGATCTTAACGGTTCTGTGATTTTGAGAACCAGACCAGACCGTTACACTTGTAAAACCGGACCAGAACCAAACCGAAAAAACGGTTCGGTTTCGGTTTGGTTTACGGTTCCAAAAATTTCTATTTATAATAATAAATTATTAATATTAGCAAAATAATTACTCAAACTAATTACATTTAACTCATGATAAAAACTAATAATATTAAGGCATTACTTAATATTACATATATATACTATCGTAATATCATTAAAATTATAAAAAACTAATTAATAAAAATAAAACTTGATATTATATATATATCTTTTAAAATTCGGTTCGGTTCGGTTCGAACCGCGGTTTTTTCATAAAATCCATTAACCGAACCGTTTTTACGGTTCTCATATTTCTTAATCCGAAACCGAACCAATTCTTAATAGAACCGAACCAAACCGTATGATTCGGTCTGGTTCGGTCCGGATTACCGGTTTAAACGGATTTTTGAACAGCCCTATTATAAACATTATATTACCTTCCAGTATTGCTTTTGAATAAATAAATGACATCATTATTCAACTTAATAATTATATGCCTAAATTATTTCTTAAAAATCACAGTAAAGATCTTTGAGTACGATAAATGGAAATAGTTCTAAAAGATTTCTTTCTATCATTTAAAAGTTCTGACCAACATATAACGGTAATATATTTTCAATAGATTGACAACAAACTGATATACATACTATACCCATGTAAATAAAATCAATAATTACAAGAAGATGCAACATAATTATATGATGAAATTTTGGTTCTTAAAGCATTCATTAATAATTTAAAAAATGTTACATATAATTTCATTCTTTATTGTATTTTATCATTTCTAGTTACAAGTGAGTGGTCTCGTTTGAGTCTCATTTGACTTATGTTTGGAAGTGAAAAAATAAAGTATGAAATAAGCTTACATATTTAAAATTTTATCTCCAAAGATCCAAGAAAATAAAACTAAAAAAAGAAAAGAAAAAGAATTTGATAATTATAACATATAACATTAATGCAAGAAACCAAGAATTTAGAGTTCTTGATCTCTAGTATTATTGTATAACATTTATTTAACTTCAACGAAATTAGTACTTGTGCATTAAATGCGCCTATAACTATGTTATTATCATTATTTTCTTGTATCATCATTATTTTATTATTATTACTATATTTAAAGATTTAAAAGTACATCTATGTAGTATTTTGGAAAGTTAGTAAAACGTTGACTTTTTAAGTTTTTGGCTTTTGGCGACTTTTTTGTGTAAAAAAATTGGCTTTTTTTTTTTCTAATTTTTTGTGTGTAAAAAAATTAAGAAGTCAAAAAGCTAAGCTAACTTTTTTAGCAAGTTTCCAAATTGCCCCCTAGTTTAGTTTCTATTAGACGGGGTTTGGCAGCGAAGATTAGATATAGACCTAATCTTTAGCACATTATTTGTAGGAAGTATTTAAACTTATAATTTCACGATTAATAACCCAAGTTTTAACGGCTAAACTGATAATTTAATATGCGATATTTAAAGATCATTCACTGAAAATTATTTTACAATTAATCTCGAAGGGTAACCGTAGACACCATTATTTTTAGTTTCATATATTGATTTTAAATAATAATAATAATAAATTTTTTTTGGATACATCAAAAATAAATAATAATTTTCATATTCCCTAATCTGCTTATGATTTAGGGTTTGAAGTGATAACTTTCGATTGAGTAAAGGTGCAAAAGTGACTAAAAAAGGAATTGTCTACCAAAAAGATCATTCGTGATAAATTTAGAAAAATGAACTAAATCTTCCAAAATTAATTTCTTTTCTACATTAGAAGCTTGAGAGTTGACTCTTTTTCCATGAGGGTTTTCATGGCTTCCAAACATACACCTAAAGAAAAGAAAAGAAAGAAAGTTGAAGAGTAAGAAAATATACAAACAAAAACATCAACAAACAAAAGCATCAAAAATCATTGTACCTGGATTTGCTTTTAATCAATTTGACAAAAGATTATCATCATCCCCGTTGAACTTTGGTCAATACTTTAACATGCAATCATGTTTATTTATGACTTTCCTCTTCTTTCTCTACAACTAATCAAAGAGAAAATCCAATTAAAAAAGAAAACAAGAAAGGAAAGAAAGTGTATAGCAGATCTTTGAAATCATCTTCATCATTGATACTTCAACCAATACTGGAGAATCTGTATATAATCTTATATATATAAATCATGCTCAAAAGAAATAAAAGATTCATGTTTATACATGAAAGATTTGTGTTTATATAGATACATGCATGTATATGTGGTTTGAGTGTTATATTCGATCTTCTTCAATACAGTAAGAAAGTGATTGAGAGTACCTTAACGGGAGAGACAGACAGACAGACAGAAAAACAATGGAGATGAGGTTAGACCTATTGACTAATAAATAATACTTTTCTTTTCGTTTTTTTTTTTCAAAATAGGCCAAATATTTTTCTACAAATTGAGGGGTGCAGGTGGAATCAAACAAAAAGTTATTTCTCAGGATTTGTAATGCGGGAGGAGCGAAATTGATCTCTCTCAAAATTTGATTATTGAAAAAAAAAATTGTACAAAAAATTATACATGACATTGAATTTATGTCCATTAATTTCAAATAAAAAAAAATTGATTTAAATTTTTTAAAAAGTAACTGTCATATCATTTTTATGAAACTTTTTGTATGGCTTTTTTATTTGTAAATCATTTTTCAATCGAAATTATCCTTTTAACGAACACAATTAAGGGCAATCTCAGTTTTAAGAGAAAAATAACGTATGAAGTCTCATTTGAAGAAGAATGATGTGGCAAACGCTAATCAGTTAATTCTTTGATTTTATTCTAATTCTGACTAATCAATATTTGTCATGTTTATAGATGACACTTGTTGTGACAAGTACGGCTTTACATGAAAAGAATGTTACGCGTTGATTTATTTTTATGAAGGGCGTTATGCATTGATTTGTGTTTATAGAAAAATAATTTGTAAGAAAAATAAATAACTTGTGCAAACAAATTATTTATAATAATGTGTCATTAATATTTTTAAAATTATAATTATAACAATAGGTGTACTGAATTGAAACAAAACTGACCACAAAAATTAGATCATTTTTTGCCCCCAAAAATATTGAAATTGTCATTGTAAATTTGTAACCATATGGATTGGCATTGATGACAACCAGGAAACACTGTTGAACCTCCAGGCGTGTGCACACTCAATTGACAACTATGCATTGAAATTAAACACAACGGATTATAATTTAATGACTAGTTGGTTTAACAGCTTTCAATTAAGGGGTTTTTTTTTAAGGTCCCTGGTATTAACATTTTATAGCATAAAGGACACAAAATATTTTCATAATGTCTAAGGTCCCTCAAGTTGATCCAGAGAAAATTGGTCCAGAGAAAATTCGCATCACAGAGAAAATTGGACTTTTCAGAGAAATTTTACAAATTTCTCTGATTTGAGAAAGGAAGGGAAAATTAAAAAATTGATCCAGATAAAATTTCAAATACCTGCACTTACACCCATTGTGGTTCAAGGTAAAGCACATAGATCAGCAACAACCCTTCCCATTATCATATGTGTTTTTATAATGTATTTTAATCAAATTTCTCTGACTTCCGAATTTATCTTCAGAGAAATTTTGAATTTCTCTGGAACTGATATTGATGTTTGCAGATTCGTCCACCAAATTTCTCTGAGAATTTCTCTGGACTCCACAACCCAGAGAAAATTCTCAAAACAAATATTTCCAGAGAATTTCTCTAATTTGCTATGTATTTTTTTTGGTGAGAAATCGAACCTTGGGGGCAGCCATTAGGTATTCTTCAGGCAAAAACAATTCCAGCTTGAAAATCCCTCCTTCATAAGGAAACTGTGTTGGACCAAGAATCATGACATTAAAGTACCGCATGTTATCTTCTGAAGGCGACGCACTTATTCCCGGCGCAGACCACAAAAATTAGATCATTTTTTGCCCCCAAAAATATTGAAATTGTCATTGTAAATTTGTAACCATATGGATTGGCATTGATGACAACGAGGCAACACTGTTGAACCTCCGGGCGTGTGCACACTCAATTGACAACTATGCATTGAAATTAGACACAACGGCTTATAATTTAATGACTTGTTGGTTTAACAGCTTTCAATTAATTGCACAAAACTATAGGGTAATAATAATGGTTTTGCTAACAAAGTGTTTCACGGTATAAGAAAAAATATAAAAATAATATAGATCTTAATGTTTTTTTTTATAATTAATTTCATAATGCTTTGCATTTATTTTAATACTTATTTTTACTTTCTAATTGTTTTCAAATCGCTTTTTTTGTGTAATTCTCAATATTAAACAATGTCCGTGGGACACTTGCTAGCATTGTCTAATAATAAAACAATGTTGTTATTTAAATTGCAGAATTGATATCAAATTGACGGAATTATCCAATTCTGATACATCCCCAAGCTGAAGATGAGAAGGGCAATGTAATCGTTGAAAAAATAAAAACTCAATTTTTTTAAAGAAAATATTTAATACCGATAAAAAATACACTCAAATTTTTTTCTTTTTTTGTGTGGTAAAAATCAAATAGTTTTCATTGACCTCCAATGGATAATGTGAATAATTGTTTTCTTGTTAAATTCTTGTCATTTCTCTATTTAGAATGATTTTTAATTTTATTTATTTATTTTTTGTATATGCCAAATTGAATTCCTCTTCTTTAAATGAAATATGATCATTATTTTTTTCCAAGACTTCCGTACTAGTTGCGTACTTGTTTAATAGCAGAAAGTTAAAATATTTATATGATCAAAAAATAAAAAATGTTGTAAATAAATCACAAAATACAATTAGACTGGTATCTAATTACGTAACGATTCAAATCTATGTGATAGTTTTCACCTACACTCATTTACTCACCACCTTTGTAATCCCAGCCCCGCCACCTTCCACCCTACTACAACCACTCACTAATGTTCCCAATCCCATCCCTTCTTTGTCAGATCCTAACCTTATCTCAACTTGTCCATATCCAGGGTCAATTTAATAACCTGATCAACTGGATACTTTTAAGATTTTGAGATGAGTATTATGGCTCAAAAAGTCAATTTAGATCAAGGTGAAGGTCAAGTTTGGCAAGTTGAGAAAAATTTAAAAATTAAAAAAGTTACTTAAAAAGTTATTATTATTTATCAAAAGTCAAAAAATACGGATGCACAACTCTCAATCATAATTTTTCCTTACACACTAATTTATACAATTTTTTAATACATATTTTTTCATAAAAAGTCAAAAAATTAACTCAAATAATCATATTTTTTTCCTCAACTTTTTAGTCTAAAAAGTCAAAAAATACACTTATTTAAGACATTCCAAACAACCCTAAGATTATGAGCTCATTTATCTTCCGAATTGGACGAAAATTTAGATTAAAATTTGGTTAAAAGGCCCAATCATTTACAATTAAAATTTATCAATGATTCAAATTTAAGTAATTATTAATAATAAAAAAATTTCATTTAATAATCTTTTAGAACTTTGGTTTCAGTTTTTAGAATTCACTTTTTAGAAAATTCTATTTTTTCGTTTTTCATATTTTTTGTTTTCACTGATTTTTTTTTTAATATTTTAAGAATTTTTTTTAATTTTTAGACACACCTAACATAAATATGCTTAAAAATTTTAATATTTGTGAATTTTTTTAAAAAAATTTACTAAATACCAGAAATACAAAAAAAGAGAATATATTTTTCATATTTTGTGTATCTATTAATTTTTTAAAAAAAAATTTCACAAATATTTTACTATTTAGATACATATAATATAAGTAAGGTGTATCTAACAAAATAAAAAATTTAAAAATATTCACAAAAAATAAAAAATGAAAAACACAAAATAAAAAATTTAATTTTCAAAAAATTAAAACTAAACACACTTAATAATTAATAGTCCTTTTTTGGCTTGGGTCCATTTAGGATTAAGTGGATAAATTTAAAATTTAAAAATAGCGTTAGGGCTGGACTGGAGATCACCGTTTTAAGATTGATGGGGGGTGAGATTGGGCTTCGAATAACGCATGTACTCATGCCTGAACCGAAAACGATCTGGAATGCCACGCGGAATCCATTATAAGTATCAACATAACCAAACACTCGAAACTACATACTGTTTTTATAATTTTACATTCAAATCGTAACTAAATACATAATAAAAAAATTAAAATATTTAAAAATATTTTTATAAAATAGAGTTTGAATTTATTTTTATAAAATATTTTAAAATTTAAAAAATTAAAATCGTAATATTTTGAAATTAAAATATTCAAAAAATTTAAAAATTAAAAAATCGTAACATATTTAAATATTAAAATATTTAAAAAATTAAAATATTGATTTGAATTGAGTTTTGAAAAGATTTTAGAATTATGTGTTTGATTATGAGTTTTAAAAAGTAATGATTATATTTTGAATTGAGTTTTGAGAAATAGGTGTAGAATTATGATTTGAAAGCTCAAAACAAACAACACACTCAAATTAATAGGTGGAATTGTAATTTGAAAATCTTACCAAACGGAGTCATGTCTCTCTGTCCTCGTTTGGCATGTTAGGCTTTTTGGTTATTTTAGTTACAAAAAAAGACAAAATAGACTTTTTAGTCCAATAAAACAAAACATCACATACAACCCTTAATCATTTCATTTTTTCTCTCACAAAAGTTAAAAAACCAAAAAATCTATCCCAAACGAGACTTTTTAACCCCAGGCAATAGCCAAAAAGTTAAAAAATTAAAAAGCCAACGTACATCCCAAACGAACCCATGTCTATCATATCCCATGAAACCCTACCGCCATGTTTGGTTTCAATCTTTTAAAAAAAAAAAAAAAATTAGAATATTTTTAAAAAATTAGAAATTAATTTGTTAAAAACAAATATCAAAATTATAATTTTAAATTTTTTACAAATATTTTACCTTTCAAATGTATAAGATTTTGTAAAAATAATAAGCATTTTTCATTTTTTTCACAAAACTAATTTAAATTTTTTATTTTTTTATTTTAATTTATGAAATGAAAACCAGACCAAACATGTAAATCTCTCTCGATTGCGAGTGATGGGTAAGAAGAGCAAGAGGGCTGAAGGTGCCAAGAAGAGATCATGTAAGGTTTCTCTAGGTGGCAATGGAGGCTCCTTAATGGGAGGAGCCCTAAAGATAAAGACAGTAATTGATGGGGTATAGAGAGTTCTTTTTCTCTATTTTTGTAATTTCTCCCTTTTAATAATTAGAGAATTATCTGAAATCCCTATACTGTACTGTCACTTGATTGCAACACAAATATAATGAACAAAAAAAATTGCAAATCAATTCTCAAATTCAAGGTTTGCAACCATGACCATCCTACAATTTGCAGTTTATATTTCAGAGCTCATGAGTTCTACCTTTAATGGACCCAAATTTGCAGGTGAGAATTGGAAAAAATAAAAATAAAAATTATAAACACATGGGGTACAAATATGTATGTAGTAGAGTGCAAATGAAAATTTGTGGGATGCATGTCTCACTTACACCCTTCCATATATTGGTAATTTTTTTTCTCAACTCCCACGGCACGTATGTCTCCCTTCTATTTAATTTTTTTTTTCCCCAACTCCCACTATGTAGGTCTCCTTTCTATTTAAAAAATAATGCCAATTAGTATATATTAGTGTGTGTTTGGAAGTGAAAAAAAATTGGGAACACACCTAACCTTTGGCATAGGGTACAAAATGATTGTCCCGAGACTTGAACCCACAAAGTGGTTGTCTCGAGATTAAACTTATAACCTCAAGATTATTAAGTCAAAATTTTACCATTGAACCAATCGTATATGTTGTCATTCATTGGATGTGGGCATGTCTTGTTAGGTGGAAAAAAATATATTCTTCTTGTGGATGATGTTTTTAATGGGTTATGCCACAGAAACAGGGCCGGCCCTGAGTTTTCGGGGGCCTTAGGCGAAATAATTTTTTGAGGCCTTTTAGATATTCATAAAAATAAAAATAAAAATCATCCTGTTTGGTTTAGAATTTTCAAAATAATTATCTGAGTTTGCAATTCGTATTTTTTTATATTTTTTTGTATTTGGCAATTTTTTTTGTTTTTTTAAAAAAACATATATATTGTAGTTTTTAAGTGTTTCTAAATTAGATGTATCTACAAAATAAATAAATAAATAAAATTGCGTAAAATATTTAAAAAAACACTAAAAAAACACATAATTAGGGCACAAAAACAGAAGGAAAAAAAATAGGCCGCACAGACATATACATATATTTTATTTTTTATTTTTTTAATTGGGTTAACAACTAACACTTATAAATATTTTTTAACTGAACCTTTTATCAATTGGGTCAAATAGAACTTTTGAGACATTTTAAAATGGCCTAAATTAATTAAACAAAATTGGGCCATTTTGAATTTTTGATAGTTTTAAGTTGTATTTTAAAAGTTTGTTAACCAAACAAACTTTTTTATTTTTTTGATCCAAATCATGTTTTGAAAACTAAACCAAAATTTCTAGGTACCACAACGAGAAACTTAATTTTAAAAATTTCCAAAATTGCATTGTAACCGTGTTAGGAGTTGATAATAGGATCAAAAGTGGGAAAGGAATAATAGTTTAGGGCTTTGAGGATCAAAGTGAGAAATAACCCATGCTTTAGGATTGTGTTTGGATCATGGATTTGAAGAGATAATAAGGAATAAGTGAATGAAATGTAACTATATTTTATTCACATCTTACTCGTCTTTTCTGTTTTGTTTTTCAAATTTTTATTCAAATCAATGATCTAAACACAGCTTAAACGTGAAAGTGTAATTCTACCCTTTCGAAGATTTTGTGAGATAAACTACAACCCTTTTTTCGGGCAGAAGGA